GCTGTGGAGGAATTTTGGCCCACTCTTCTGTAAGGATGGTTTTCCTACGGTGGTTCAGGCTGTAGGATTGCCGAATGACTAAAGAAACGTTATCAGCACGATGGTATAAAACTGTACATTTCTAGTCTATTACCACCCACTGCCACTTATACCAACGACGGAAATAAGCGCAGTTAGAATAGCTACATATGTGGGAGAGCGTTGCTATTGTGTGACTATTGTATTGCAATAGGTAGCACTTTAAGATTAACCTTGAATCAAGACTAGTTAGCACATAATTAATAATTGAAATGGTTTAATAACAATATTTTGTTATGGTTACACTTGAATTGGTTACAAAATAGATGAAGGATGGTAAAGCATAGTTAATTGTACCCAACATGTAAAATATTACCTGAGAGAAAGAGATAGAGAGAGGAAGAAAAAGAGGGAGAGAGGGCAGAGACCCAAGAAGAGAGCCAGCCAAGGAAAGAGACAGAGCAACAGTTACAGTCCTCTTTTATCCCTTCCTTGACCATGTGACTAAAAACCAAATGTGAGACATTCAAACTGACCAATCAGCAGATTATAACTTCACCCACTGGGCAAAAGGTGTGACAATTAGCAGACCCCCGGTGTATACACATGTTGGCCTACAGGCCTTGATCACTATCAGCACCTCTGTGCCTTCAGGAATTCCAAATGGCCCTTTTGTTACTGAAGATAGGTTTGGGACAGGAAAGCAGAAGTCTTTGATAATTTTTGACCTTACAAAGTCGCCCCTTGGCACCGTTGGCCACACTTTAAGAGGCAAAAGGTGACACAGTCCATGAAAACATGCTTTCTGTACTGTGCAGATGTCATCTTCAGTCTTCTGGTCCAGATTTGTTGCAGTTGCAGCTGGTCAGTCTTTGTTCTCCTTTCAGCCCTGTGTGAGAGATCTTCATCGAATGGTGTTGCACCCTTCATAGATATGCAAAACACCCATTGAATACTTCACACCTCCACAAGAACAGGCACTGAACATGGTAGAATCCGCTTGTCCCTCTTTCTGAGGCAGGACACAGGATGTGAACTTGTGCAGCGGGAATCCTGTGATTTCAAAAGAACATATGGCACAACAACCAGCAAAAGTATACATGGCATTTGTCATTGGTTTGATGTGGTCAGATTGAATTTGTCTCTGGCAAAAAGCCCTTAAATCGATGTACTTAAAAAGATGTCAAGGTGAGAACAAAAGATGATCTGAAAAGCTCTTACACTGTTTTTGGAAACATTCAAATAAATTGCATTATAATAAAATCAACAATTGCTGGTTTTAACACCCCCCTTCATCAGTAAGAGTATAAGCAAAATATTCAGTGTAACCAAATACAGAGATTCAATTGTCCAAAAACAATCTTTGTTTCAACTGAAATGGACAACATACAAATAAACAAATCAAATTAGTTACATGATATATCAATGAAAATGTTTGTACTTAGGCAAAAGTGAGAAATACTAATTTACATTTGAAACTTGGTGAGATGATAGCTAAGTAATTAGGTAAACCCAAAGAAACAAAAACAAACAATAATTGGATGAAATTCACAATTATAATACAGTCAAGATGTACAGACTTAACATTATATGAGGCAGTATCAGACAGATGTAGATTTGACTCTGTGTGTGAAGATCAAATGGTAGTATGTGTGTCTGCATTTAGCTGTGGCTATGTGTCAGTGTAATCATGCTCCAAACAAAGGCAAGCAAGTTTTACAATTGTGATGCAAATTTGGCCCTGTTGTAACAGGGAGCCAGCCTGAGAATGTGAGGTATGAGGTGTGATCTGGCTCAAAATACTTCCATACCAATGTTTTTTGTTAAGGAGCATGATAAAGTGCAAAGTTCAGAGCTGAATCCTGTTGTGAGGAAAGCATTTTCATTGTTAAGACAATTGTGAATCACACTGTGGCCACATGGCAATTCTATGCTCCTGTACATGGCTTAACTGCAGCTATATGGAAAATAGCAGAGTGTACCACTCAGGAGACAAACAAATTCAACATAGACACACATGCAACTTGAAATCGCTATGTAATTCCAGTATTACAGTTATTCCAATTTTACACAAGACACATGGTCTAGTATGCATGTAGCATCTACAACCTTTAACCTAAGTGTTTCACACACTTACAGTAAAGCAGTCATGTGTTTTTTTTAAAGAATAAACCCAAATAGTCTATGTGTACATGTAGTAGCACAAACAACTATACTGTGTGTTCTATGTGCACAATGTCTTAAGCACAATTACGAATTTGAAAATACAAACAGCATAACTGAAATGTGGATGTTTACATATTAAACTCATTGCTATTAAGCTGCTAACCCACTAGCAAGTGAAGTCAATAGCTGGAGGCCTTGCATGAACAATGCAGTCAACTCACTAAGAGTTTTACCTGCAAATGAGCATTGATATCTGCCTTTAGAAAGTGGTTTCCTATCTTTCTGAAAATAAGGTGGAGGTCTACCCCTACCCAGTGACCAGCATGTTTCCTCTGTATGGCCTTTTTTTTGACAGGAACGACAAAACCTGCTATCTTTGCCACAGGGTTGTTTGCTGTGTTCTCCTGAAGTTTGAGGATTTTCATGACTCTCTAATGCTTCCTTCACACCATGCGTTCTGGTCCACGACTCTGCGCTATTACGGTGCTGCATCACCTTAAGAACTGCAATCGGCACACTTTTTTGAGCAGTGGCACATGCTTCCTCTGAACAAATCATTCCAGAATTATCACAGCAAGTAATTTCCTCTAAGAAGTGAACATGCTTTTTAGCCCCATCGCTGTTAAGCGTTTTGGGAGACATGGACTCTTGTGCCTTAAGCTTAGCCTTGAGATCTGCAATGATGTCCTTGTGATTTTTACACTTTTCAGTTAGGATTAACTGCTCAGCTAGTAAGTTATCTAGCTGCAATTGAAGATCTTGAATCTTAGCTTCTGACTTTTGTGCCTCTGTATTTTTAGAATGCAGTTCTTCACATTTAGCATCTATACTTAAAGTTAGACACATTGTTAACTCACTTAGCCTTATACAACGCACCTCAATTATTTCACCTTGTTTTGATTTCTTTTCATGTTTACCAAGTATGTTCCACCATGTAAGCATTCTCTCATCTGAATTAAGATCTTGTATTCTGAATTTGCTCAAGTTAGGTTTAACCTTTTTGCTCCATAAAGCAAACAATACGTCACTTTCAGATATTTTCCCTTCCATCGGTAGGTTTAGGGGTAGGGTTGGTGTAGGGCAATAGAATATAAGGTCTGTACAGTATAAAAACCATTACGCCTATGGGATGTCCTCACTTTTCACAAAAACAAACCTGTGTGTGTGTGTGTGTGTGTGCGTGTGTGTGTGTGTGTGTGTGTGTGTGTGTGTGCGTTCATGTGATTGCTTGGGAGTTCAACTTGTGCAGTCTACCTCAGGAAGTGGCTTACCTAAAGTGTCGACTCCGGAAACCTATGCTTTATACATCAGTGTAAACTCTACAAGGGTATAACTAGTAATTGCCACACATCATTCGCCATGAGTCAACCTTCCATGAGGTAGTTAAATATCCAGATTTCACCATGTACCCAAGGGTCATCCTAAAGGAAACACTGTACAAGAAATCACAACAGAAGAGAAGAACTTCGCCATGCAATTACAAAGAGAGGATTTTTGTGCTAAACACAGACGATTTGACATACTTCGAACATCGTCCTGGGGTATGTAGTCACACCTTCTGGAGACTTCACTGTAACTGTTACTATTTGCTTTGTAGTATTTGGAAAGCTACTGCTTTTTATTAGATGCAAAATGACCTTTTCCACCTTTATAATAAGCTAAGAAAATGTCTGTGATGAATGAGCTGTAGAATAATGACGTTCCTTTGTATATCGCCGTAGAAAAAGCCAACTCAGAAAGGCTGCATCGAACTGTCTCATATCAAGTGTGTGGAGATCGTTCGCAGTGATGTTCCCATTCCCTGTGATTACAAGTACCCTTTCCAGGTGAGAATCAAGTGGAGTTTTGCTTCAAGATTTTGTTGGCGCAAAACAGCTCATACAGGAGAAAGTGCCTGTAAATATTTTCAAAATAATGCCTAGTCAGTGCTTTTCCTAAAAATCTAAAATGAACTTTCTGCCTGTTTGATTTCTGTTTACATTGCTTAACAGTTTTGTTCACGTATTTGTTTGTTGACAGATCGCCCATGACAGCTACTATCTGTATGTGTTTGCTCCAGACAATGATTGTAGGTTAAAATGGGTCAGAGCTCTGAAAGAAGGTAAGCAGCTGTTACAGAAAGTGATATGCATTGTGAAAACAGAAAAGAAAAAAGGGTTTTAAGTGTAGAGTGGAATATGATCTTGGTCTGTTTTCAATACTTTTGTTTAAATATGTTTAAATGTGTACTTTATCTTTTGTATTTTATGTTATTTCTTCAACCTATTAAGCGACGCAAAATAACAACTTATTTCTGAAGTACCATCCTGACTTCTGGGGAGAAGGGAAATGGAGATGTTGTCAGCAGACCGAGAAGCTGGCGACGGGATGCAGTGAATACTATCCCAGTGGAGGTGCAAAATCTTTCAAGTTAAACAGTTTTAAACATATGCTTATTTCAAATCATAAAACATCATAGTCACTCCACAATATATGAATGCAGTAATTATAATGTGGAGTATGATGAATCTCAGTCCATTTCTATCAGTTGCATAAATTTATAAGTGGTTTATTTCATCCCACAGCCAAACCTCTTCCCCCTACTCCAGATCCCACGGTTTGTCATTCAGTCTCTGTTTACAGTTTCTGACTCCTATGCTTTTATGTGTATTCATATTTTATACTTAATGTTTTAGGTTTGAGATTTTGAAATGGCTTCAAATGTTTCTGTTGTTTTTGCAGTTTAGTATAATCAGGACAGTGTTTGGATGAGATGTTGTAAATTGAGCTGTCTGTATTTATCCACTAGCGCCGATCTTCAGATCCAGAGGAGAGGATTGTTGTGGCTTTGAGGAATTTCAGCCCTGTAGAAGATACAGACCTGCCTCTGCATAAAGATGAAGAGTATTTTGTCATTGACAGTTCAGAACAAAACTGGTGGACTGTGAGGGACAAAAACGGGTAAATATCTCAAACAATTTTTGTTTTTCTTAAGTTAAAGTTATTATAATGCCTTCTAAAATAGTCCCTCCACTGTGAAGTTTGACACATTACATAAACATGTTAATGAATAAAAGTTTTTCACTCTGCCGAATGAGATCGTTAAACAAAATGTCACACCCTTTCCACTCGCCGTCATGAATATCAGACACCAAAAACCCATTCGAAAAATAGATAAATAGATGTGAACCATTTCAGCATTGAGTAGCAGTTCCTTTACAAAACAGTCATTTGAAAATGATCAAAAGTTTTAAACATTTCAAAAGGTACAGTATGTATTATTGCATCATTTACCTGTAGCATCATTCCTGGTGTATTATATAAACAACATGATAAAATTTTATTATTTACATGATATTTGGCAGTTAACTGATTTGAGCAACTTAATTGACATTTTAACTCTTTGGAAATATTACAATGATATATAAGGTATTAATTACTAAAAAATTATCAAAAGCATGGTGTTTTGTTGGTTCTAGTTTATATATTGAAAGTGACAAGACTCCCATACAGTTACTTGGATATTTAGCATTAAACAATGGCAAATGTCCTTGGTGGAGAGTTGTGTGAATTATTTATTTTATTTTATTTTATATATTATTTTATTGTTTTTTGTTGTTGTTTTTTTAGAAATGCCCCAAGATGTTGCCATTATACTAAAAACACCTAAAAACTAAAAAAGGGGACAAAATCCTCTATGTGACTGATTATTATTCAGCCAAGATTATATGTTAATTAACTAAAAAAAAAACATTTATATAAGAATAAACAATGACGGCAGTACTGATGTATAGCACCTCTTCTATGAAGTTGATAAAGTTTTGTTTAGCATAATAATGACTAAAAACAGGGAAGACGCACAGAATTGTGGGAAAACAATGGTTTTTAATTAAAACTCAGTGGTAGGAAATAACAGAGGCTTTTAAATCTTACAAGTTTTTTGTGCTCTTTTCTCCCCTGTTCCAGAAATGTTGGCACGGTGCCGTGCATATATATTGCAGAAAAAAGATCAAACAACATTGATAAATTTGAGTAAGTTCTCATCCGTATGTTACAGAATAAAACATTTAATATGAAAGATTTGAGAAAAAGAAATGTCTTGAGTTCATAGTCAAAGCTTGATTAAGCATACAGTAATGGCTTTGTTTTTTCCAATGCTTTGTGGTTTTATAGATGGTACAATAAAGACATAACTCGGACTGAGGCAGAGAGCTTACTAATGAGAGAGGTAAGGCAACCAACAAATGACAGTCATAATGTCAATGAATGTTTCCATGTCATTAATCAGATAACCGTAAACTTTAACTTTGTTAAACACTTCTGTCATGCCACTTCAGTACATTTTCACAGTTTTTGGGCATTGCAGAAAGTTGGGGTTCTTTGCAAACCTGCAAGAGCAACGTCTGCAGACGGTGCAGGCAAAAGCATGCAGAGTTCAAACAAAATCTACAGCCCTTAAACCAGAATGTGGCTGCTGTGTTTCCTGTCAAGACAATCTTACATGTTATGTTTTAAATATGAGAGATCTCAGACATACACATGAGATTTGAAACAGTTAGCTGTCATAACCAGTAGCATAAACAGTCCCTCTACCAAATACGTTTACGCATTTATCCATACCACTTTATTTGTCAGAATGAAACAAAAATCATAATTCTGTGTATGCTTTCTCATTTATGGTATTTATATTGGTAAGTGTTGATATTTACGGTTGAATTTATGGTTAACATGAAAGGTTTTCTTTACAGAACAAGGACGGGGGTTTCATGGTTCGTGACTCTAAACACCCAGGTGTATACACCGTGTCAATATTTTCCAGAGTCTCAGGGTAAACGCTTACTTTGCTATGAAATTAATGTTACTTACAATCACTTACAAAGAAATATCTGACAATTTTATCCGATCATTATTTGATCTTACACAGGTGTTCTGAAGTTTTTAATGAATGTCATTCATCTGCAGGACTGATGGAGAGAAGTATCCTCTAGTTAAGCACTACCAGATCAAAGTACAAAGAGAAGGTGAAAAGGTCATGTATTACTTAGCTGAGAAATACGTGTTCTCGACCATTCCAGAGCTCATCCGCTATCATCAACACAATCCAGCAGGTAAGTTGGAAAAAATTCCATGTAAAGAGTTGCTCTTACAGTATATTGCATGCCAATATTTGGAATAGCGTTCATTACATAATATTTTGTTAGAGGCACTGCTTTCAAAAACTGTCTTTTGAAATCTTAAAGTTGGCAAAGTTTTAGATTTTAATGTGTCAGTTGATTATATCATAAAACTGAAGAAAACTGCATAAGAATATTGACTTTGTCCTGTGTTATGTGGCAGGTTTAATAACCAGATTGAGGCATTGTGTGTCTAGAAATGTCACAAACCCAAAGATCAAGGAGTTGTCATCAGGTAAAACACAAGCTGTCAAGTTAAATTAGAGTTGTATTGAAGTGTATATTATATATACGTTATTTCTATTTCAAATAAATGTTGTTCTGTTGAGCTGTTTAACCATCAAAGAATTCGGGAAAAATATTGTTTTCAATATTGATAATATAAAAAAAAAAATTTGAACACCAAATCAGCATATTAGAATGATTGCTAAAGGATCATATGACATTAAAGATTGCACCAAAGCCTTGGTCAACATAAGAGACTTCTTAGAAAAACATTTTAAAAATCTGAACATTTTTTAATGAATTAAAAAAATATAATAATAATTTTGAATAGTGTGTGTGTATCATGTATGTATGTGTGTGTGCATATATATATGTTCGGGGTAACGCATTGCAAGTAACGCTAGTTACATAATCAGATTACTTTTTTCAAGCAACTAGTAAAGTAACTCATTACTTTTTAATTTACAAGAAAATATCTGAGTTATAGAGTTTATTGACTGACAAGTCTCCTGTCCCCATGTTGAGAGAAATCAGAAGTACAGAGGCTTTGTGTGCGCTGTGTAAACATGATGTTACTGTAGTTCTAGACTAAATGTGAACATGCATAAATTCATCTTACTCGCAAAAAGACAGATTCAATATTCATCAAAATGAATTACAACAGTGAAATACAAACTCAGAATATGACGCAAACCTGCAATCATTAAGTATGTTAAATAACACAAATATCCTTTATGTATTTAATCCCATTTTATTAACCAATGTCTTTGCTGTTGACCTTTGATGATCCAGTTCAACCATACTAATAAGCAAAAATGACTTTACATAAACTAACATTTGTGCTCATTTATTTTTTTTTTATTGCTAAAGAGTGTTGAACCTTCTTCTCCTGTGTTCTACTGTACGGATGTGAAATTACTTTTCCTTCAACCTTAGGCTTATTCCTTTCACTTTTTGGTGTGAAAGGGCTTTTACATTTGCTAAAAATAGAACTTTTATATTAAAAACAAACAGGCAAGACCTGTCCAGATTTTAAAAGTAACGCAAAAGTAATGTAATGCATTACTTTCCATAAAAAGTAACTAAGTAACGTAATTAGTTACTTTTTAGGGAGTAACGCAATATTGTAATGCGTTACTTTTAAAAGTAACTTTCCCCAACACTGATATATGTGAAAGGTAACCACTTCGTTGTAAGGTGTAACAAAATCTGTCTCTTTTACAGATAAATGGGAGATTCACCCTGATGAATTGACATTAAGCGAGGAACTGGGCAGTGGGCAGTTTGGCTTGGTCTGGAAGGGAAGCTGGAACGACCTGCAGGTGGCAGTTAAGACTCTCCGAGAGGGTTTCATGTCAGAGGAGGAGTTTAAGGAGGAAGCACAAGTGATGATGTGAGTAACTCATGCTGTATGTTTCAAAGGACATGAATATAAGGATCAAAAGTGTACTATCCCTTACAGAAAAAGCAAATGAACTTCACATGTGCAATCACATGTTAATATCACATGTGAAATATGTGAAACACATGATCAGATGTGAACACGTGAACAAATGTGGACATGTGTGGACAATATGTAATCACATGTTCACATGTGATCACATGGGTTTCACACATTTATGTGAACCAAGTTCATGTGTTTTTTTCTGTAAGGGATTAATTTATTGCATTGCTCATTGTCTGCCTCCACAGGAAACTGTCCCACAATAGGCTGGTCCAGTTGCATGGTGTGGTCACTCAGCGCTCACCCATCTATCTGGTATTTGAATTCATGGAGAACGGCTGCCTGACAGACTTCTTGCGTGCCAGAAAAGGCAGTTTCTCCCAGGAGGTCCTGCTGGGGATGTGTTTGGATGTGAGTGAAGGGATGGCCTACCTGGACAGCTCCAACTTCATCCACAGAGACTTGGTAAGTGTAAACAGGGTCTTTAAAGTGTCAATTCCTTGCTTTTTTGGGACAATTTGTTCTAAAATCTTCCTGTTTAAGCAGGCTGCAAGAAATTGTTTGGTTTCTGAAGATAATGTGGTGAAGATATCAGATTTTGGAATGACAAGGTGAGTAGCAGCGCCTCAGTGTTGCGGATTCCCACGTCACTGCTTTTTAAGACTTCAGCATAATGGAAAATTCCCACCTGTATCTGCAGGTTTGTCCTAGATGATCAATACACCAGTTCTTTTGGGTCCAAATTTCCAGTGAGATGGTCCTCTCCAGAGGTGATCAAATTCGGGAAGTATAGCAGCAAATCAGACGTGTGGTCATTTGGTGAGTCCATATTGATCCACTGAGACGATGTTAATCAGAAAAATGAATCAACACTCACCTTTATCCACATATTTGATCTAATATATATTGACGTCTCATTTGCAGGTGTGTTCATGTGGGAGGTGTACAGTGAGGGCCGTATGCCCTATGATAGCCGTAGTAATGCAGAGGTAGTGGAGACCCTAAATGCAGGACTGCGGCTCCTGAGACCCCGTCTCTGTCCACAGAGTGTGTACGAGTTAATGCAGTGGAGCTGGAAAGAGGTGAGTACACCATAAAATGCATCATAAACTTTCCAGCATATAAATCATCCTTGAACTGTAAGATGATTTGAATATTAATAAAATATAACGTCATCCCGTATAAAGGTGGTTTTACTGAGAAATCCTGTTCTCATGAATAGGGCCTTCTGAGGAAGTTAGTCATGTTCACATTTTGCTTTAACGGTTTTTTTTTTCTTTCACAGTTTTAAATGTGGATTATGTAGGGTATTTTTTACACACAATTAATGTGTTGTTTTATTACTAAAGCTTCCTAATGTGTGTCTTTTGTTACTCATGTAGTTCAAAGCAGGTAATGTTTCTGTATCCTGATCTGTTTACTTAGTTATTTGTCTATGCATATTGTTAGTGTCATTATTGTCACGGCAACATAAACATAACAATGTTTGTTTAACAGAAACCTGAGGATCGACCCTCGTTTGCTCTGCTCCTGCATGAACTGGCCTGCCTTGAACAAGAGCCTTGATCCTGATCACACCCTTCCCTGTACTGGCTTTTAGGGACAGCTCATTCAAAAAATCATGTCATCTTTTAATAACCATCATGTCATTTCAAACCTGTTTTTTGTGGAACAAAAAAGGTGAATTTTGAAGAATCTTTGCATAGCAGTTTTCCATATATGGAAGTTCGTATTTGACCAAATAGGAAAAAAGGCACTTTAAATTGTGTTAGGTTTTGACTTGTGAGCTATGTGTTAGCTGGGTGTTCAGACTGAAGCTATATGATATAATAAATAAATAAATACATAAATAATTAAAACTGTAGATGTCCATTGCAGCTTGGAAAACTTGACAGATTATGGCCTGTTGTTGTATGAAGAAAAAAAAGCTGCTTAAAAATTCTTCTTTAATGTTTAATAGGTTTGAATGGCATGAGAATAAGTAAATAATGACATAATTTCCATTTTTGGGTGAACTATACCTTTAAATGAAAATACTGTATATTGTACAAATCACATATTGTATTTATTTGTATATTTTATTTATTTTAACCGATTTCTTATTTTCATCATTTATTCCACATTATGTCACTGTATTCTTCCTGTTTTTATACATGCATGACTTCTGCAAATACAAATCTCTCCCTTAGGAGGCACACATGAGCCATATTTTTTCACCACCAGTAAAAATGTTGCTGATTGCTGTTGTAATGTATTCAACAAAACATCACATTTACATCTACATACTGATTCTGTCAGTGATACTTTCCTTTAGTCTAGATCAACTAAACTCACAATTTGCTAAATGAAGTAAAAGTTAGTAATACTAATCTATTTGAACTGATTTTTTGGGAAATGTGATTATATTAAAGCTACTTTACTAACCTAGTCTACAGACTGTTTATTATGGCAATCATGCATGTTTAAGCACTTGATGCGGACTTGCTGTTAATGCTGATTGGAGCATAGTAACACAAATGCCTTCACTGGTTACTGTGACAATGGCACTGAATAGAAACACTCCAGCATGCCAGTGTTCACTGTATGTGCAGCCTGAGGCCATAGACACCAAATAAGTGCATATTTATTTAATGTGTTTCCAGAGAGAAATACTTTTTTAAAACTAATGCAGAGAAATAAAGAAACAGGAGCCGGGCCCAGTAGAGAACCTTAGTCCTGGGATCAGAAGATTTTTATTTGATTCAGTTTGTCATTTGACATTCTGTGTTTATCTTTTTAGAAAAATACACCCTCAAAAGTGCCTCTGAAAATCAATTCCAGGGGGCATCGCCTCTCAATAAAAATGCTATCAGTGAATTCACCTTAGTATATCTCTAGAATATTGATATCTTTGTATTCCTACAAACTTAAACCATCACTGTTCATGGCATAATATAAATCGACCACAGAGATAGAGTGCGAAGTGGGTCAGAAGTACAGCAGTCGATGCAAATTTATGACCATGCACACTCATAGAAAACACCCTATAATTTACACTTCTCTATCTTTTCATTATGTATATTTGTCGAATAGTGGGGTTCTGTATATTTTATTTATGGAATCCCTCAAGATTTGACGTCATCTGTTATGGCGCTCACTGACTGACTGCGCCGCTGCGTGATAGCGCGGAGCTTGTTGATCCCGCTCTCGCTGAATTTCTGACCATTACTGCACGCTCCCATCTGCTCCCGCAATTTTTGTGTCTGCTCCCGCAAACGTTCTAATATTGTATATAATTTTCGCACTTCAGGGCGCTGCTATATATATGTGGGGTTTTTAAATCACCTTTGAATGAGCGCTCGCAGTCGTAGTTCACTTTCTCTTTCGATTTCGCGATTGCGCGCGTACTGTGTAAAGGGAGCACATCTTACGATAAAAGATATTTGTCAGTGAACTCTGGATCTGTTGAGGAGCAAATCCTCCAAAATCTTGTCAGTTATCTCTCCTTACTTTTGACCCGTGATTAGTCAAATATGACTTCTGCAGCTCGTGTTAGATGCAGGGTTGTTGTTGTTGTTTTTTTCCATTAAATTGGACTGCTTTTAAACTGTTGTCATGAGTTGATTTTCCCCAGTGGGTTAAAGGTTTGAAATATTGCATAAATTACATTTGGTTGAAATGCTTGTACTGAAACATTTTGCATTCTACCTGTAATAAAACTGTGCTAAATGTTTTGGGCCACACTAGTAGGAAGCATTTGAGCTATGTTTATGATAAATGTGCATAACAGTGACTGTAAAATATGTGTTTTAGGAATGGAAATTAAATTTTTATATTTGGGACATGGTAATTGCGCTACTTTGGGCTGTTTTTTTTTTTTTTACTGGCACGGGCTTGGGATGCACAATTAAAAT